TAATAGCATCCTAATAGTATTAATTCCTTTGAATATCATTTGTTTGTTGTACCTAGCCTCGACTAGTTTGTTTAACTTGTTTATTGCTCACGTTTAGATAGAATTCAAGAAATTTTTTGAAGAAAAAGCTCATAAGCATTAAAGTTTTGTGAAAAGATTTTGGGAATTGAAGCTAACATAAGGGCGTTTAGTAATTTCCACTTGAAAAGGCTTGGGTTTTAAATGGCTCTTAGTAGCTCACCTCCCTTGGTAGTGCAACTTGTATACTTAGACCTCCAAGTGTTTATTTTTGTTCCTTGAAAACAAAAATTTAATTTCTTTTTGCATTACATACTAAAACTTCTTAGAACTTAACCATGAGTAAACATTCTCAAAGTGGTAGTGACTCAAGCTCTCCAAAAAGTTTTCTCATCTTGCTCAAGAGCTTAAGGCACTAAAACTTTGGAGAAAACAAAAAGTTCTTACTAAAGAAAAAGACATAATTGAAAGAGAAGCACAACTTGCTATTCTTGAAGAAGAAATATGAATGGTTAAGCAACAAGAAGAAAATCTTTTGGCAAAAATAAAAAATAAAAAATAAAAAAGTAGGAAAGGTTCACATAGCTCCACAAGCCTTGAAGAGGTATGAAGTTTGAACATAAAAATGAATACTACCAACCTAACCCTAGGAGAGTCATTAGAGAACCTAAGGTAAGGGTGTAGACCCCTAAAATTGTCCGGGTAGGAAATAAAGCTTGAAGACTCTTGAAGACTGAAGGAAAGTCAGCCAGAAGGACTCATGGAAGGCCCTAGGAGGATTCTCTGTAGGTCTAGAGGTCTTATAATAGCTCAAAATAAGGAAGTGGAGGGAATGAAGCCCAATACGGCCGTACTGAACTTAATACGGCCGTATTGAAGCTTCAATACGGCCGCAGTGAACTCAATACGGCGTATTGAAGTTTCTGAAACTTCAATACGGCCGTACTGAAATCAATACGGCCGTATTGAAGCTTCAATACGGCCGCAGTGAACTCAATACGGCGTATTGAAGTTTCTGAAACTTCAATACGGCCGTACTGAAATCAATACGGCCGTATTGAAGCTTCAATACGGCCGCAGTGAACTCAATACGGCGTATTGAAGTTTCTGAAACTTCAATACGGCCGTACTGAAATCAATACGGCCGTATTGAAGCTTCAATACGGCCGCAGTGAACTCAATACGGCGTATTGAAGTTTCTGAAACTTCAATACGGCCGTACTGAAATCAATACGGCCGTATTGAAGCTTCAATACGGCCGCAGTGAACTCAATACGGCGTATTGAAGTTTCTGAAACTTCAATACGGCCGTACTGAAATCAATACGGCCGTATTGAAGCTTCAATACGGCCGCAGTGAACTCAATACGGCGTATTGAAGTTTCTGAAACTTCAATACGGCCGTACTGAAATCAATACGGCCGTATTGAAGCTTCAATACGGCCGCAGTGAACTCAATACGGCGTATTGAAGTTTCTGAAACTTCAATACGGCCGTACTGAAATCAATACGGCCGTATTGAAGCTTCAATACGGCCGCAGTGAACTCAATACGGCGTATTGAAGTTTCTGAAACTTCAATACGGCCGTACTGAAATCAATACGGCCGTATTGAAGCTTCAATACGGCCGCAGTGAACTCAATACGGCGTATTGAAGTTTCTGAAACTTCAATACGGCCGTACTGAAATCAATACGGCCGTATTGAAGCTTCAATACGGCCGCAGTGAACTCAATACGGCGTATTGAAGTTTCTGAAACTTCAATACGGCCGTACTGAAATCAATACGGCCGTATTGAAGCTTCAATACGGCCGCAGTGAACTCAATACGGCGTATTGAAGTTTCTGAAACTTCAATACGGCCGTACTGAAATCAATACGGCCGTATTGAAGCTTCAATACGGCCGCAGTGAACTCAATACGGCGTATTGAAGTTTCTGAAACTTCAATACGGCCGTACTGAAATCAATACGGCCGTATTGAAGCTTCAATACGGCCGCAGTGAACTCAATACGGCGTATTGAAGTTTCTGAAACTTCAATACGGCCGTACTGAAATCAATACGGCCGTATTGAAGCTTCAATACGGCCGCAGTGAACTCAATACGGCGTATTGAAGTTTCTGAAACTTCAATACGGCCGTACTGAAATCAATACGGCCGTATTGAAGCTTCAATACGGCCGCAGTGAACTCAATACGGCGTATTGAAGTTTCTGAAACTTCAATACGGCCGTACTGAAATCAATACGGCCGTATTGAAGCTTCAATACGGCCGCAGTGAACTCAATACGGCGTATTGAAGTTTCTGAAACTTCAATACGGCCGTACTGAAATCAATACGGCCGTATTGAAGCTTCAATACGGCCGCAGTGAACTCAATACGGCGTATTGAAGTTTCTGAAACTTCAATACGGCCGTACTGAAATCAATACGGCCGTATTGAAGCTTCAATACGGCCGCAGTGAACTCAATACGGCGTATTGAAGTTTCTGAAACTTCAATACGGCCGTACTGAAATCAATACGGCCGTATTGAAGCTTCAATACGGCCGCAGTGAACTCAATACGGCGTATTGAAGTTTCTGAAACTTCAATACGGCCGTACTGAAATCAATACGGCCGTATTGAAGCTTCAATACGGCCGCAGTGAACTCAATACGGCGTATTGAAGTTTCTGAAACTTCAATACGGCCGTACTGAAATCAATACGGCCGTATTGAAGCTTCAATACGGCCGCAGTGAACTCAATACGGCGTATTGAAGTTTCTGAAACTTCAATACGGCCGTACTGAAATCAATACGGCCGTATTGAAGCTTCAATACGGCCGCAGTGAACTCAATACGGCGTATTGAAGTTTCTGAAACTTCAATACGGCCGTACTGAAATCAATACGGCCGTATTGAAGCTTCAATACGGCCGCAGTGAACTCAATACGGCGTATTGAAGTTTCTGAAACTTCAATACGGCCGTACTGAAATCAATACGGCCGTATTGAAGCTTCAATACGGCCGCAGTGAACTCAATACGGCGTATTGAAGTTTCTGAAACTTCAATACGGCCGTACTGAAATCAATACGGCCGTATTGAAGCTTCAATACGGCCGCAGTGAACTCAATACGGCGTATTGAAGTTTCTGAAACTTCAATACGGCCGTACTGAAATCAATACGGCCGTATTGAAGCTTCAATACGGCCGCAGTGAACTCAATACGGCGTATTGAAGTTTCTGAAACTTCAATACGGCCGTACTGAAATCAATACGGCCGTATTGAAGCTTCAATACGGCCGCAGTGAACTCAATACGGCGTATTGAAGTTTCTGAAACTTCAATACGGCCGTACTGAAATCAATACGGCCGTATTGAAGCTTCAATACGGCCGCAGTGAACTCAATACGGCGTATTGAAGTTTCTGAAACTTCAATACGGCCGTACTGAAATCAATACGGCCGTATTGAAGCTTCAATACGGCCGTATTAAGTTCAGTACGGCCGTATTGGGCTTCATTCCCTCCACTTCCTTATTTTGAGCTATTCTAAGACCTCTAGACCTACAGAGAACCCTCCTAGGGCCTTCCAGGAGTCCTTCTGGCTGATCTTCCTTCAGTCTTCGAGAGTCTTCAAGCTTTATTTCCGACCCGGACAATTTTAGGGGTCTACAGTGTAAAATAATGATCTTCCTAGATTTTTATGAAGATTATGGGTTTTTTTCATGTTAATTTGATTTGCTGAAGTTTGGTTTGTTTGTTCTGAGTGTCTCTGTTAATTATTTCTTTATGCATCAGGCTGTATCAAGTTTAAGGAAAAAAGGAAATAGACTTAAAAGTAACCTTGAATCTCAATCTTGTTATGATAAGGTTATACCAGAAGAAAAAATTGAGAAGATAATTCGGGTATCTTCAGCAGAGAAAGTCATTGGTAATGATCCCCAATGCACCATTGCCAAGCCAAAGGTGCTGTGTTTGCACCATTTCTGCTGGTTCTAGCTTGTACTATGTATGTTGACTTCATATTGGAAAGTGTGGGCATAATGATAAGTGTTCGTGTCTTTTGTTCAGAATCTTACTCTTTTAGATATGTGTACTTATCCGCTGAAGCTATTGTTCTCTACTGGTTGAAGGTATTTTATCTATAGTAGCTGCATTTTGTTTTGACATAATTGACATTGTGTGTTGTAATTCGTCTCGGTGAAGTTCTACGATGAAACTTTTGATTCTGTGGAAGGAAAGTGTAGGCTTAAACTTATGGGACCTAGGCGTTTGTGAGGACTTTAGTGAGACAGTTTTTAAACATTTTGACATCAAGAGAATTAGTATACCGTGAAAATGTGGTGACAAAATTGTATTGTCACGATGTGACATTCTACTAGTTTCTAGACTAAAAAGGACTGCAATTCCAATACATTCAAGTGTCTATTATCCGTTGAATATGCAATATTAATTTGTTTGGTATAGCTTGTTTTTTTTGACACAAATCATATGCATTCATTTATTTTTCTACCCTCGAGGAGTTGTTATGACTTGAGCCAAAGATATTATATACGTATCTTATCTTCACCTATGTTTGTCATATTTATTGTGGACTTATGGACTTGAAGCAGCAACCAGGTGGCTGTCATATTTATTCTTGAATACGCTGACTTCATTTATTCTTTGGTTATTCAGATGAATGATTATTAATTATAGCAAGTTTACAAGAAAATTTGGACATGGTTTACTTATTTTCCATTTAGGAAAGGAATTGCATGAACTAATCTGATAAGAATGAAAGGAATACCATAAGGAAACTCGCAGTACAAATTTTATCATAATTGATTAGTTGAAGACTACATCAAAATTAAACCTTTATGTACGTTGTCAAAATTGTTTCCAACACTGTAATTTGAATCAGCAAGTTATCTTATTAGAGGTAATATACTAATATACCCTTCTGGATTTGCTGTTCCTTCAGTATTTCATTAAACCAGAAAATTAGTAACTCAAGGTTATCTAAGCTTGAGATCTTCGAAGCTCCTCCAAGCGTACAGGGATGGTGGAGTCAAATTGAGTGCTCTGTGGATGCTCTGCATAGGCAACATAGTAAGCTGAAACACAAGCTTGTGGCCATGACATTGCTAACCGAAACTGCATAAGAGAGTTCACGTAAACAATAAGATGCAAGTTTATGATCATACTAATCAATATTTTAAGAAAACAGGTTAAGGAACATTTGATAAAAATATTCAATTACTTGAAAAAGTAAGTGTTAAATGATTTTTATCTTTCATGTATAATAAATATTCTCTTTCCGAGACTTGTTTTTTGGTTAGCATTTATCTAAACACACGTGCAAAAGTGGGTGAGACAAAAACATTCTACTTGTCAAATGCTGCAAAGTTCTCAGTTCTTACGATGAAGTAACCAATTAAGAAAGCATAAATGGATATTTCTGTTGCATAGCTCTTCTGTATTACTATGCTCCAAATTCCACTCACTAGGCCACACATTGCTCCCCCTGCCACTCCACTAAGGAAACAAAATGAGCCAGTGAGATCCAAGTCTATGAGTTGTTTCAAACCAACCCTATTGAAAATGTCCCAAGTGTCAGAGGATGCCTTCACAAACTCCTTGTTATAAACTCCAACATGCACAAAACCCCATCGGTTCCCACAAGCCACAAGAAGAGATGCAAGCTCCATGTAGCAACTAGCATAGGCAAACATCAATTCATCGGTATCTCCTCCAACCAGACTTGTCAACCTTGCAGAACCTCTAAGGAGTGTGATTAAGGGGACAAGCATGGAGCCAAAGGAAACACTTCCAGTTTGGTACTCGACTGTGTCATGCAATGCCACACTGGTGTCCATGATTACTCCACCAGATAAGTGCATATACTTCACCCTTGAAATGGTGACTTGCATCACATTCTTCAGAAACTGCATAGTCCAACTCAGGCTCATCAGAATCACCAAGATGAACAAGGCAGTTACTATGGCTCTGTCTTCAATTGCTCTAGCTCCTCCAATTCCACATACCAGAAAACAGCAATAAAGAATACCAATGAGGGTTGAATAAAATGCCAACCTCATGCTTTTGGTAGGAGGATCAGCTATTGAAACTGACAAGATTCTGTTGGCATAATCAAATCTAGGAATGACCCAAAAACCATAGAGGGATTGAATTAATGCGGAAACCAAAGCAACTATACCAACAGCAAGACTTGGTGAAGATCCAATGTACACAAATAGAAACCCCACTGCAGATGTAAGAAGGGGACTCAGACAAAATGCTGCTCTAATAGCCATTGTGGGACTCCTAGCTGTGATCCACTGCCATGTGAGACCAACAATTCCACCACATAATGTTGCTATTAGGAGTGGAGGGTACCAGTACCACTGCTTTGGGTACAAATGGTAGGTGTGAAAGGCATAGACAAGGCCATAGATGGTGAGGTAAATGACCAACACTGCAATTAGGAGCAGGTGAAGGTAGAAAAGAATCTTGAAGAACTTCTTTGCCAGTGTTGCGTTTGGAAAGCTTGAACTTGAATCTTGTGCCTGTACAAGAAAATGAAAAACAGACCAAGTTGACATGGAAAATTTTCAGTCAACATATTCATAAATCATAACAAATGCAATGGTTTTAGCTTACACTTGAAAATATTTCTATGGACTTGAATAAAAGCAAATGCCTCGTCCTATACTTTGACACATAAACAGTCAAGAATGCACAAGAAATGTTGTCTAGGAAGAAAAGAAGAACCTTGAGGGAGAAGAAAAAATTGCGAAAAGGGTAAGCATGCAGAGAGAACCTCACACTCGGTTGAAAAAGAAGAAATCAAGAAACAGATATGGATATGATAGAGACAAACAGAATTTTGATGGGGTTTGTGGATGAAAGCCAGTCTTGTTGAACTTGTATTTTCTCTTCATCTGTGACTGTGATCACGTTTAAGTAGTTCAAAATTTTCACAGTGTGTCTATTTTATTATTTAAATGCACTATGAAATCTTTGTTTTTGTTTCAGTGTCTTCTCTTCGGTGATGGAAATTTCTTAGGAAACTTACAGATGTGATGTAACTCTCTACAACAAGTCTTGTAATCTTCTTGCTTCAATCAGTAGAAGAAGCGACTGACCATATCCATGTGACACCGTGAAGCGATTTCCCGGGATAAACGATGAGGCTTTAAAAGTTCAAAGTAAAAGGTGATATAAAAGCATACGACTATTTTAGTTAGTTCTTATCTAGTGATTGAATTGTTTGAAACGTGGGAAGATTTTCAAAACTTGTAGTTTTAAGGGAGACAATAATGCATAGAAACCACACCAGCAGCTATATGTAATCAAGCATTCATTGAAAGATTCTTCGCAGGAGAAATCAAGATACACAATCTTATTAGAGAAAGATTAGAGAGAATGAAAATATTATTGATTTGTGATCAGAAGTTATGAAATACAAAGAGAGAGAAACTATATATAGTTGCAGTAGATTGCGAGATAAGCTACCCAACAACAAGCTTACAAACTAACCGAAACACTGACAGGTGTGACTTTCAATTATATCAGAAATAATTACAAGAAAAACAAAATACATCAGAATAGAAAAAGAAGAATAAAATGATAAAATTCTATACTCTAATACCTCGTGCAAGCTTAGGAGTGTTAGACTTGAAGGAATCCGCCACTCTAAGCTTGGATTCGAGAAGTTGAAACCAAGAGGGAGAGAGAGCTTTAGTGAGAACATTAGCTTACTGATCGACAACTGGGACAAGAATTATTTGAATTCGTTTACTTAGGACCTCTCACAAATAAAAAATAAGTCCAACTCGATATGCTTTGTTCGAGCATGTAACACAAGATTATGAGCCAGTATTAAGATTGTCACATCAAATCTAAAGGGTAGTATGAGAAATTTTAAGTTCTTGTTATAAAGTTTGAATCCAAATAGCTTTGGTAATGAACAGAGCAACACTTGGCATTCAACCTCGATACTAGATCTTACTACCACTATTTGTTTCTTGGATAACCAAGAAACCAAATTAGAGCCAAGAAAAACAGATGCTCTTGAGGTTGACGGACAATCATCAGTGAAAATTATGAGTACACACATTATATAACATTGAGTCTCATGTGACATGCATCATATGCATGAAAATCCGAAAATTGGCAAATTGATACATATACATTGTATATACATTTTGTGATTGGTGCCACATGCATGCAAATCATAGTCCATGTACATTGCATCTTTTGTGTGAATGCCATGTTTATTGAATGCTTAGGATGAATGAAGTCTAGTTGTTAATGATTTATTGATACCTTATTGTGAACTTTTAATTGTATGTGAATGAATTATAATAGTGTATTTGTTATGTTCTATGTGTTTGGCTATCCGACCTCATTCCACATTGGAGGCAGAGTGAAATGTTTCTCAATCCTCTTGTTTCCATGTTGTCTTTTATGCATGTTGATGCAGGTGAGGCTCATTAGAATATTGATGATGCTTGTGATGAGGCTTAGTCCTTATGCGGGAGTGCTCTAATAGGATATGTAATATTGAGGCATAGTTGCGGGATTATTCATTTATTGTCATTTACTTCTATTACATGATGTCGAGTCATTTAATTATGTGTTACTTTTGAAAGTTTTATTGGAGGATTTGGTATGAAGAGTTTGTTATGTGGTATTCTCTATCATATTAAATTTTATTTAGTTGGATATTTATGTATGAGTTTTGTTATTTGGTTTAAATTATTTCTTTCTCGTAGTTAATGTACATGCAAGGTAGAGGGTGTCATATTCAGTGATATCAAAACCAAGTTGGTTCAAATTAGACGTGTGTTATGTGTCTTGTTGCGTGTTTCATGTGTTATCTGATAATGTTTTGTTGTATCTTGTAATATGTAATGTTTAATATGTTTGTTTTATGCATCAATATTATGGATGGTAGAAATGATCGTGTTATCGCTAATGCTCTTCAAGCATTAGCATAAGTGATAGAAACTAATAGGGCTAGTGTTGCACATAGTTGGTTGGAGAGGTTTTAATGTCATCATCCACCCCCATTCAAGAAAGGGTGATAGAGGACCATACTTGAAGGCCATAAGACCTTAAGTTGGTGATAATAATTATGCAGATGAAGACCAGAGTCTCTGGGCAACCCAGTCAAATGAAGTGATTGGAAAGACATGTTGAAAAGCAAGCATTTAAAGAAAATAATGAATGAGAGAGTTTATGAAAGAGAAGCTTGTGCTTTAGTTTGTGGGAGAGGTTTGGTCCTAAAAGTGAGAAGAAGATGTGAGATGATTTGAATTTTAAAAATGCGAGAAGAGAGTAAAGTTAGGCATGAGTTTGGTATGAGAAGTCATAGGTTTGGCATGGTGACTAGTGAGAAAAAGTTGTCACTGATATGATGAATCTCTAGTTTTCCCACTACTTCACGCATTACTTTCCCAAAACCAATGCATCTCATGATTCCTTGCATTAATAAGCTTTAAATGCATCTAAAACCTCTTTCAAAAAATCAGATGATATGTTAGTATAAGCATCAAGTCAGATTGATGAAATGACATGCAGGCATACGATGATGTGAGTTAAATGATACATATTGCAATGTAAGATGATACATAGTAAGATGATGCGTGTAATGTTTAATCTAACATACATTTTAGATGCAAATGATTTCTAATGAATTTATAGCATTTTTTAGCTAAGACCTTTGTAAAGATATCAAGTCATTGATGATTAGTGTCAATAAATTTTATATCAAAAACTTATTTTTGTACATAATCATGAATGAAATGATATCTTATTTCAATGTGTTTTTCCTTGTAATGTTGTATAGGATTTTTAGACAAATTAATGGTACTGGTATTATCACATAATACAGGTATATTGTTTTCAAGACTAAAGAAGTCTTCAAGTTGATACTTGACCCATAAGAGCCGTGAGCAACATCCAATTGTTGAGATATACATTGCCTTTATAGTTGAAAGAGATATGGAGTTCTTTTTCTTGCTTGACCAAGAGATGAGACAGATTCCCAAGAATTGATAGGCTTCACTTGTACTCTTTCTTTCAATCTTATCTCCAGCATAGTCAGCATCACAAAATCCTTCTAACCTAAAATTATTATTCCTTTCATAGAATAGAAAAATGTTAGTAGTACCTACAAGATATATGAATATTCATTTAATAGCTTTTAAATGTGACTCTTTGAGATCAAATTGAAATCTAGCGTAGAGATAGACATTGAACATGATATCAGGTTTACTTATAGTCAGGTAAAGTAGAGATCCAATCATAGCTCTATAGATTGTTTGATTTACCGGTTTACCTAATTCATCTCTTGACAAACATAAAGACGAATGCATGGATTTGGGCATTGGCTTGTAATTATTCATTCCAAACTTCAAAAGAAGCTCTATAGTATATTTTTGTTGATGAATGAAAATGTTTTCGTCTGTTTGCTTTATCTGAAGTCCCAAGAAGAACTTCAACTCACTTATCATGCTCATCTCAATTTTTGTTTGCAATAGCTTCAAAAAATTCTTACATAGAAATTCATTAGTAGCACCAAAAATTATATTGTCTACATATATTTGAACTACAATGAAATATGTTCCAAACTCTTTTCTAAAGGGATTCATGTCAACTTTACCTCTCACAAAACCATTGCTAAGTAAAAAGTTACTTAGTCTAGCATATCAAGCTCTAAGATCTTGTTTTAGATCATAAAAGTCTTATTAAGTTCGAAAATGTGTACTCTAAAATTTGGGTTTTCAAAACTTGAAGATTGTTTGACATACACTTATTCCTCAATTATTTCATTTAGAAAGGTGCTATTTACATCCATTTGAAAAAACTTTATGTTTTTATGAGTTGCAAAAACTAACATAACCCTAATAGCTTCAAGTTTAGTAGCATGAGGGAAGGTTTCAGTAAAATCAATACCTTTTTGCTAGTTTTAGCCTTAAGCTACCAACCTAGCCTTATTTCTTACAACTTTCTCTTGTTTGTTTAGCTTATTTATGAATACCCATCCAATATGCAAATTTGTAAAGCCTTCTTCTAAATTTGATAGTTTCCTATTAGTTGTTAATGCCTTGTTAAACCTTACATGGATAGATTATTCTACCATAGAGGTTATAGAGTTGTAAACTTTATAAACCTTTGAGGAATCAGAATATCCAAGGAAGATACCTTTGTCTACTTTGGAATCAAACTTGCCTAATTGATCTTTAGTGTTTAGGATATAACATTCGCATCCAAAAGTACGGAAGTATGACATGTTGGGTCTTATTCTTCTCCACAATTCACAGGGAGTCTTGTTTAGTAATGCTTTTATCAATATTTTATTTTGAATGTAAGATGATGTGTTCACTACTTCTGTCCAAAAGTGTTTTGACAAATTATTTTTACAAGGAACTGTTCTTGCCATTTCTTGTAAAGTCTAGTTCTTTCTTTTAACTATCTCATTTTGTTAAGGTGTTCTTGGTGAGGAGAATTTATGAAATATACCATGTTTTTCACAAAAACTTTTGAAATCAGAATTTTCAAACTTAATTCTATGATCACTTCTGATGGCAACAATGCAAAACCTTTTTCAATTTAAACCTATTTCAAAGTCCTTAAACGACTCATGTTTGTAGCCTAGGAAGTATACCCATGTATATCTAGAATAGTTATCTACAATGAAAAATCCATACTTTTTACCTGCTAGACTGAGTGTTCTGGTTGGAATAAATAGATCCATATGTAAAAGTTCTAGTGATCTAGAAGTGGAAACAATTTTCTTGGATTTGCAAGATGTTTTAATCTACTTCCATTTCTAACATGCTTCGTAGAAAATGAGTTTTCCAAGAGATTTCAGGTAGTATTTTCACTAAACCCTTTTTAGTTATTTTTGAAATATATTTCATATTTACAGGCCCAAGCTTTTTGTGCCAAATCCATTTTTCATCTTATCTAGATACTAAACATGTTACATTCTATTTGCTCAAACTAGTTAGATTAATCTTATAGAGATTATTCTTTATCTAAGGAATAAAAAGTATAGATTTATCATCTTGTTTGACTATGCATGCATCTTTGTCAAAGACTTCTATATACCCATTATCACAAAATTATCTTTTGCTTAGTATAGGTTATACTTTAGACCTTCAACATATAAAACATTATTCATAGTAGGTATAAAGTTTTTACATATCTTACCTATACCTCTGATTTTTCCTTTTCCATTCACAAAGGAGATTGATTCTTCATGTAGTTGGAGGTCTAGGAACATAGACATTTCTCTTATCATGTGTTGTGAGAAACAATTGTCTATGTACCAATGTGAATCCTTTCTTCTTCCCATTAAAAATATCTATAACAGAGATAATTTAAGATTTTGGTTCCCAAATTTTCTTGGATCCTTTTCTATTAGTCCCCATGCCCTTGGCCTTACTCTTTTATCTACCTAGAGTTTTATCTCTATTTCCATTGACCTTACAAAAAGAGACCTTGGCTTTGGCTTCAAATGTCCCTGAACTTGGATCAAAGCCAAGACCATTTTTGTTAGACGAAAGTTTTTTATGATTTAAGAGCATGTTTAACTTAGAATATCCATCGATAAATTTCGCTAAGTCCTTCCTAAGTTGTAGGTTTTCAACCCTCAATGTTGTAACCTTAGGTGGGATGAAGTTAGTGATCTTGCTCTTAAGAGGCTTTATCTCTTCTACAGTGTCTGACATTTTCTTCTTTAGTTCAAGATTTTCTTTTTCTAAAATCTTTTATTTTTCTTTAAGTTTCTTGTACTTAAGGAAGATCATGTGAGAGTTTACTAAGAGAGTCTCTTAGGACATCTCATCATCATCAAATTCAAAAATGTAGCTTAAGTCAATTTTTACCTCTATGTCAATAACGTCTGACTCAACATCTTCCATGAGGCATATGTTAGCCTTCTTATTGTCTAAACTGTTGTTACTATTGTTGTCCAGATCTTCCCAGGTTGTCATTAGGCTCTTCTTAGCCTTCTTTTTGGAAAATTGCCTCTTTCTTTGAGAAGAGCAATCAACCTTCAGGTGACTAGGCTTCTTGCACTTGTAGTAGACAATTTCCTTATTGTCAGTCTAATTGGACTTTCTGAACCTGTTCTTTTTTATGTGGAAGTTTCTCAATCTTCTTTTCTCTTTCAGCATGTCCTTGAACTTCTTAGACATGAGAGATATCTTGCCGTTTGTGAAGTTCTTGGAATTATCATTTGAGTTGTTGGGCCTAGATTCTACCTTCAAAGCTTTTTCATTTTCTCTCCTCTTGTTAGTCTCACCACCCTTTAAAGCAACAATATTTGCTTTGGGATGGTCTTTATTGTTTAAGTGAACCTTGTGAACTCATGGAGCTCCAAGAAGTTCATCAAGAGTGAGAACTTTAAGATTGTGCACTTTTGAGATAACTATGGCTTTGGGTTTCTAGATCTTAGGAAGGTTGTCCAAGATCTTGAGATTGTTTTGAGCTCTAAAGAACTCAGTTCCTAGGGATTTTAATCCATTTAGAATTTTTTGGAATCTTCCTAACATTTCATCTATAGATTCACTCTCCTTCATGGAGAACAACTCATAGTGTCTCTAAAGTGTAGCAACTTATTTGAGCCTTACATCTTCAGTACCCTCATGAGTTACCCTAATGGAATTCCACATTTCTTTAATCGTTGAGCAGTTGCAAAACTTGTACTCTGTTCAGGATAAGAAGAAAGCAAGGATGTATCTTATTTTAGTATTGAGCTACAATGTGTTGTAGTCATCCTAGGTATATTCATTCTCAGGCTTGGTACCAACAACATCACCTTGAGTGATGATTCTCCAAAGGTGGTATTGGGTGGACTTGATAAACATCTCCATTCGATCCTTCCATTACAAGTAGTCTAAGTATTCTTTGACTTGTATATTCAAGCAACTACCTAAGTATTCTTTTAACAATAAGCCTTTCCAAGCTTAACAACCAAGTAATTTTTTATAGTTAAACCTCTTTGGGCTCAAAATCAATATTCTTTTTAGACGATCCTTTCTAGACTCAAAATAAGTATTTTTTTTAGACAAGCTTCTTTAGACTCAAAATAAGTATTCTTTTCATACAAGTTTCTTTAGGCTCAACCTTATAACAATGGATATGAAGGTTACATAAGTGTTGTATTCGTCTCACTTAGACATTATACAACCAGTATAGAGCAATGAGTGTTTACATGAAAGAATAGATTTACGAAGAATGTGTTTTTATACAACTGTATCTATATATGTGTTTTGTCTTCTTTCTTGAGTTATGAATCTTCTTATATAGTAGCTCAGAGAAGATGACCATTGGAACACTTTGGATCTAGCTCATAAGTTTGTTTTGTCTGTCTTTATCATCTTTCCTTGTGATGGTAGGTGACTGTTTAGCTCATTTAATGTGAGCATTAAATTCATTTCACCAAATAGTACCTCTTATTTAATCAAGAAGACTACTTTTCAACTTTCCATACCAAACTAAGCATGCAAAAGCAATGTCGGTGCAGAATAGCTGTAGTAGTGACTTTATTTGTTTTTCTTCGTGATTTCAAGGATTTTAGTTCTAAGGGGAAAACATGATTCTTCTGTTTAACAGATTTAAGAGTTCCAAGATAGCTTTTTGGTTCAATCTGTTAAGGAATGAAACATGAAAAAAAAAAATTTTGTCGTTAATCTCAATAAATAATAAATATTTAATGTATATGAGACAAACCATATATTTCGTCTAATTTACAATGTCTTACAATGATCTATATATATCTTACACTTCATCTCATAAGTTTTTCAAAGATATTATTAAAAGACGTTTATATAAACATTTTTTCTTTATAAAAATATTTTATTTGTTAACATTAAAACTTTAAGTTCAAGGGATCTAAATTATCTTTTGACTTGACAATTATACATTGAACACTATATTATATATAACATGATTACATGAGATAAATACTATTTAAAATTCTTGATCTAATATTAATCTAGTTTAAAATGAATAAATAATAATTTTATTTCATAAACATAATTAATTGTTTTAGTAAATTAATTATATATATTATTATTTACTATATTTTTAAGCAATAAATAAATATACAGTTATTTTTGTCTCTTATTTCCTTTTAATTATATTTTTCACTTTTTTTTAATACAGAAAGAATTTTAAAATATTTATTTTAATATTATAAAACTTTATATTGTTTATTGAATGAAAAATATATTAAATAACATATACATATATATTAATATTATATTATCTATTTTATTCTTTACTATTTTTATCTAATAAATATAAATTTTACTATTCATTATAAGGAATATGTTTAATAAAACAATAAAATTCACAAGTTATTATCTTCTCAATCACTTTCTTTACCATTTGCCTTTCTTTACCATTTGCTTTCTCCAATACGATTGCACGAGGGTCCCTGATTCACAAGGAAGACTCTTATCTACGAATTTTCCACGTTTCGTATGGGTTCCATAATCCATAATTCTATATTCTATATATATTTTTTAAAATATATATATTAAAATAAGACACGACTTTATGTAAAAACAGAGTCAATCAATTACTAATTTTTTTAAAAATTTTGAATAAAATTATAAC